GTAAACCTAGGCACAAAGAGATAAATAGCATGCCAGATACTGAATCAAAAATAGGCCTTGCACTTTTGTGTGCTTCCTTCACTAAACAATACTGATTGAAATAATTTGACTAGTGGGAAAATTGTAGGCCAAATGCTACATGTTGTCTAGTGAATCATTCTATGAGGAGATATGGAAGTTCACCATATGGTTATCTTGCAGGTGTAAGTCTGACACTGTATATGTATGGTGGTTTCTGAATCTAAGCTCCGCTGGCTTCAACAGCAAACTGAAATCCCTTAACAGATTATTTATATATATATGTATACACACATACAATATGAAATAAATTTTCAAATTAATTTCTGACACTCATTATAAAATCACTGATGAATTGCATAGATCAGTATTCTTTTGCAGAAGACAGTTTGGACTATAATAGCTTTATCTTTATTGAAATAAAGTGAAAAAAATCAGAAGGATGGTGTTGACTGTGAATTTTTTTTCTTCCACAATTTACCTAGTTTATCCTCAGGACTTAAAAAATTAACGGATATAAAAATATGAAGATTCCAATTGTGAGGAGCGTTTAACATGTTGGGTGAGAAGTTCAATGGTAATTCGGGGTAAAAAAAAACAATTAATAGGGTATCAAAACCAAATAAGGGATTTGTAAAGGATTTGAGCACTGTTTTGTGCATTGTATCTTAACTCAGATAGGAATGGAGTTCTGGAGTGAGGTGTGGTGTCTAGGGCTGCAAAAGAGATAAAGAGTAAAAAGAATTTCTAGTGGTGAATGTGGCAATCTGACTTAAATTCAGATACCTAAGTTGCTTGGTTCTGTAGTTAGGGCTGAAAGAGAGCTGGTTTGTATGGCCCAGAAGCAGAGATTTGGAAACCCAAGGAGCAGACAGTTCTGCTTTCTCTCAGCTGACACACAAAAATCTGTTCATACAGTGATGCCAGTACAGACTGACCAGGCAGACCAGGATGCAGGGAACTTGGAGAGAGGAATACATGGGAAAAACAGAGAGTTTGTGCATAATAGGGCAAACCTAGAGAGCAGCTGCTGGTGCAGCAGATAAGAACCATTCTTCCTTTGTGGTATGTGAAGATAAAGAAAATTGTTGCTCTGTGCAAGCTGTTAATTTGGACAAGAGAATTTGGTTCCATTGTATGACTGATATATAGGTTCCACGATGTATATGTATTTCCATACTGTACAGGTTAAATTCTACAGATACACATACATATATGTAGCCACACATTAATCTAGGGGGCTAGTTGAGTAAAGAAACATAGCAGAAACTCGCTTCCCTTTTCTTCCTCTCTTTGGGTCATATCTCCATACATGTTATGCATGAAATTTCAATGACTTGGTGACATTCTTTTCCTGGAGGTACGTTTTATTGTGCTGTCCATCAGTGCAGAGCACTGACTTTTGCTTGGCTGTATGAAAGTGATGCTGGAAAAAAGAGGAAGCAGATTGTCATTGCTCAGTGTTGGCCACCAGAGTTCCCAGGGTCAATGTGACAGAGCACTATAGTTGCTCAGAGGTACAGTTTAATAAACCCAGTTGAACTTGTGATGTGTCCAAGGCTAATCAGTGCCTTGTTCTGCACCAAAGCTGCAGGATTGTGTAGTATTGACAGCTTTACCTGTGTATCCGATGCCTTGAGAAGGCTGATCTAGAACAGAGGCTAGACAGAGCTAAAGAATAAAGTAGATATTAAAAGGTCTCAAAGGATCCACCTTGGGCAGCACAAGAGCCCAGCCAGGGCTACACCCAGGATGAACCCAAAATGGTCACAAAATGGATGACTCGTCCCAGATTCTCTCACTTTTATAAGTTCTGGTCCATTTGCATATTGGAATTAATTGTCCAATTACAGCTTTAGGTTATGAAGTCACATCCTTGTTTTTCTCTCCTCAGTCCACGATTGTTTATGCTCTTGGGCCTGAAATTATGATCATTTGTCCTTGGTCCCCAGCTAGAGAAGGAATTGTTTTGTCTCCCTACTCTGTGAAGAGAGCTCTAATATGAAGCTCAGAACCCCACATTAAAGCACCACAGAATCTGAAAAATATAAAAGCTAAAACCTGAGGCATCATTTCTACTGTGATATGCCTCTAGCTGCTGCTGTGACAACCTGACTCTTGTCAGGCTCCTGCACTGGATTTTTAGATTACTGCTGTTCTTTTACATGCTTTTCTACATAACACATGGATATTCAGCAAAAAACACAGGACATGAAGTACCATATTCATGGAGGCACAGACTGTACCTGGACAGCTCTCTAGCTGCTAAATGGGAAATGATGCAGATAATTTGCTATCTAAGCAGCTCTGATCTTAAAGCATGAATTCATATTCTGTGTAGGATACTAATGCGGATTTTATTACTTGCTCACTAAAAGAGTGTCGGCATACTTAATATATTTTAAGGAACAAATAGAACTTTTGGGAAACAGTGTACTTGCATTGTGCATATCAATGCAGTAGCCATACCAAGATGCCTCTAAAACCCACTGTTAGGTTGAATTATACAAAGGACAATAATGAGAATTTCCTGACTGTGAGTCGTAAAGGATAGAGCCACCTATCACTATGCACAAAGTCTGTTTTTCATTACATGTTAGCTCTTTTTTTTTTCTTCATAAATAAACTTAGCAGTGTGTTTTCTGTCTCACAGAGGTGGTTTTATTCAGGAAAAAATAACAACTAAGAGGCAGCCAAAGAACACTAGTGGATGATACATGTGTCTGTGAAAACAGGTTCATGTATCTTAAGATGTGATTATCTTGGCTGAACAGAAGTTTAACAAATAAATAAATGGTAGTACTGGCTGATGACAGTGATATCTCAAAGTTGTAGAAGACTACTGTGGAGTTCAGGCTATTTCTAACAAGACTGAATGTAGCTATGTAGATAATTTTATTAACATTTTGTTTGCTGCTTTTTAAGCAGCTCATGTATTTGAGTATTAAGTAAATTGGATTTTCTCCCTTTGCAAATAAGTGTAGTTTCCTTTTTTGTGTAGGCCATGTAAGTGGCTTTCAGGCAATCATGTTAATATTTTCCAAGGCAAGTTGTTTTTGTTTTTCAGGACTGGGGCTACATGGTAAGGGAGTATAGTGGCAAAAATATGGCAGAATCTGTGTAAAAAGATGACAAGCAATACAGAGTGTTGACACATGGGTTTGAGATGATAATACATAAAGGACCATGAATATGGTTTAATTTGCTTAACCTTGTCACCTGGTAATTGAAGAAGAATTGGACTGTATTTTTAATTGAGTAGCAGTTTTGGGGACACTGAGATTTGAATTCACACAGTAACTTCCCTCCAGGCTGATGAACTTGTAAGTAAAATATAATGCAACAAAGGATTAAAAATTACTGAAAAGACACTTTGCAGTCAATTTTGTCCCTTAACAGTCAATTAGGGATCACTTGAGAAAGGCAGGAGATTTCTGGGAATGAGCAGACATCAAGGCCAGCATAGCTGTTCAACATCTTATCCAACTTCCTACTAGTGTGACCTCTGAGGAACGCTGTCAACGCTGTGCTGGTATGTGTGGAAGGGCTTGGGCCGTGATCTTTGTGGCGAAGATGTCAAGTTACAGGGAAAGTAGTTTTTCCCTCAACTGTTGGTAAAAAGCAGGTCAAGTGGGGTTAATCTTGACTGCTAATGATTCTGGGCTTTTCAGGATGGTATTATTTGTGGTGCTGAGCAGCTGCCTCTGCTGCTGCTGCTTGGACCCGGTGCTGGCACTGGAGGCGAAGCTTTGCTTCTTTGTTGGTGTCAGGTTGTGTTCCTCTGGGTGCTGGGTGACATTTCGGCTTGCCAGAGATGTGGACTGCATGGCAGGAGGAGGATTGGGTCTGTGTACAGTTTTGGTGGGACAGAAGACTAATGAATATTTCTGCAGTTCAGAGAAAAGGAAGTTACTTAAAGCTTTGTTTTGTCACTAGAATGTGAGGGTTCTTTTCTTTTGAAATTTTATGTGAAGTAAGTTTGCTAAAATCCAATATTCAAAAACCTAGAGCTTCAAGTACCATGAGGTTTAAGGAAATATTTTCTATTTGATTTGAGTCTTTGAAGACCAGACTTCCTCCCGTAGCATATTTTAAGAAAATATCATAATCTAACCTAATTTTGTGTGTTCAATGAACTTGTTGCAATGAATGGTAAATTGGGAAAGGGCAAAAATATACCTGTATTTGGGGTGTTTTCATGTATTGCTGCCCTTTTGTGAACAAAGAACAAGAGCAAAATTTATTACAGCAATTTGGGGCTGTCTGCTTTGAGATATACAGAGGTGTATCTGTAGTTTCTGCCCAAAAGGGGAAGAATATTCCATTCTGTGCTTTCCCCTGTGCCCGGCCCTGCTATCACCTGGCCCATGGTGATTTAAATGTTTTTCTCCTGCCTTGCAGTGTCTGAATGAGCACAGACTTCTTCCCAGTTAACATACAACAATCCCTTGTGCTGACTGCTGAACTCTGATCTTTGGCTGGATGCACTCTTGTTTCTTTAAGCACGTGTGGTGCAGAGCAGACCTGGAGCTGGGTAATTCATAAGGGCTGCGTGTTATTGGTATTACTACTACTTGAATGAGCCTGTATTATTTTGCACAGCAGTGTGGTCACCTGGCAGCAGGTCATTAGCATTTTAGGTTTCTTTCCCTCACAACAATGCACAACATGCTAATTAGAGGGTTTTGAAAGCTAAGCAACCTGGTTTAAAATCAGACATTTTAATTTGCAGCTTTAATGGCTATATTATAATAACTGGCTTGGCTCGGGGGCGAAGGGGAGAGAAGCACTTCTCATGTTCCAGTAGAAAGGTCCAATATAACAGAGGCTGGCAAAATTAAAAACCTCATAATTTGACCTTTGCCTGGGATAAAAGGCTGTTTCATAACAATTTCCTTTTGTTCTTTGTTTAAGCCATTACTCCAAAAGGAGCCTCCGATTAATCTAAGTAAATGCATCATTACAGTCCTAATCCATGTCCTTCTGTCAGTGTCTGTTTTAATTAAATAAGAAACACTAGCAGAAAGATATCACGCACAAAGCTGTGATTGGAGAAAGAGGGTTGTTTGATCAGGGTGAGATTAAAAAAGGCTTTACTGTTTTGTCCTTTTGCTCTGGATGCCATAATGTAGGTTAAAGGAAGGAAACTTGCCTAATAGTTTAGCACATTCTTCCCCATTTGCAATATCTAAATAACCAGATCCACCCATGAAACTGTCTCAGATACTCAATTAATTACATACAGAACATTCACAAACAGATGATATGGCAACTTGGTTTGAGTAATTTGACACATTAATATGTTTGGGACAGTATACATGTTTGGCCAGAAACTGTATTCAAGTTGAAGGTCTTTTATATCCAATAAAACATTGATTAAAGCTATTTAGGTATTTTCTTTCTTTTTAGTACTTGTGGCTCACAAATAGTAAACATGATTTACTGCAAGGCCCTGATTTTTTTAAAAAAACATTTTTGTTTCTCACAAAGTCAGAACAATTATTTTACAGCAGTGAAGGATTGAAGGATCTATTTAGTAAATGTCATAACATCCAACTAGTTAATATTGCTAAAGCAATGCATATGTAAGAGACTCTTCCTCAAGATAGTGTTTCAAGATCCCTGTGGTGAGGGTTTTCTCCCATATCCAGGCCATTATTTGATGTAATGAAAAGAGAAAGTGTGCAACACAGAGATTGTTAATTAATTTAGCCTAACAAGATGAAGATAAATGAAGCAAAGGATGGATTGAATGAAGTAAGAGGTCTTATTTACAATTTAATACTACTTTATATTAGGTATTTTTCAATTTACAAAAGAAAGAAGTTTAAAGAAAAGGTGTTCTGCAAATGCATGTAAGATTTTTTTATGAACAGTTCCTAGAACTGCCGCAAATGCCTTTTGGGTTAGCCGTTAAGTTTTCCTCGCCTATTTTTTTTCCCTTTTCACAGTCATTTTTCTCAATTTGATTTTAAAATAAGTTGATAGGAATGTGAAAAATTAAACCCCAAACTTTCTCCCATTGAAATCAATAGCAAATTACCAATGGAAATTCTTGCAAGCCCAAATGTTACAGTTTTTCATTGTTTATATTAATCTAGAGTCATAGCTTATTTTTGAGCAATTTGTGTGTAGAAAGATGCATTAAGAGGTGTAACTATAAAAATACAATAAGATGTGATTTTAGTTTGCATTCCAAAGTGTAAATTAATTGTTGCATATATTTTCAACAGTCCTATTGCAATGAAAGCTAGGAGAGGAATCCAGGAAAGTGTTAATTAACAGTGATTTTATGTAATAAAACTATGATTTTTTGATTTGGGAGAGTATTTTTTCTCAAGACCATGTTTGTTTTAAACATTTGTGAAAAGCTGTAGTTTCTAATTTCTAAAAAATTAAAAATCCCCCAAGATTAAAAGGCATGTGAGAGATTTTAGATTACTGTTCTTCCCAGTCCCAGATTTAAATAAAGACTGTCCAAAGCTAACAGTAAGCTACATTTTGCATCAGTTCAGTCACTGCATCTCAGTTTCCCAAGGACAAAATTTAGGGTATAATTCTATAGAGGTGGACAAAAAAAATAAGGTCTGTAATTTTTAATATCTAAAAACTAATTAACAAAAAAGTCACATGTTGTGACTGATTAGAGACACCTTTTATCAGTTTGTCCTAAACCCTGAATTGTAAATGACCAAACTTATTAGGCTTTTTTTTTTTTATGAAACATCCTCATTTTTACAGATGAATTGGGTCTGTCCACTATTTGACCTTCTGCCATGGTTTCTGTCTGCAAAGGAAATGCCTTCCTTCCTTTTGCAGCAGCCAGACAGGACAGAGTTATCTACAAGCAGTGTCACTACAAGCAGTGGTCGCCACAAATAGCATTATTATGGTCCCTGTGTTTTTATCTTGGGGGTCATGAACAAATCCATGCAACTGCTTCTAAAGATTTCAATAAATAGGACTTTTTATCCAGACAATTGGCTTTTATATTACTTTTAAACAAAACTACTAGTCCATCAAGAGTTTCAAAAGGAAAACAATTCTACAGAGTGCTGGTATGGCAGCACAGACCAATCATTATGGCACCCATTCTCCAGTCCTTTATTTTTCAAGTCCACAACAATAGGTTGTTGATTCAATGGACAAGACCAGAACAATTAAGTTCTCTGTTTAGCAGCAGTGCAGCATTTTAATGCCCTCCTCTAATAATGGTCTCATTATTGTTATTCTAAGACTGGGCCTCAGGAGGAGGAATATTTGCTGGAGGTACGTCATTATTTTGCAAATTTCGATTAGCTCATCATGTTGTCTGTACTGTGAAAATCGTAGCTAATTAGGGCAGTCAGTTAGACTACCAGCTTTTGAGCTTATGAGTTAAAAGGTAGCACACTTGATAGGCCAATGATGTGAAAAAGGTGGTAAAAAGAGGGATTAGAGCTGTTGCCTTAGTAACTCTAACTTCCATCTGTGCGGGAACAATGGACCTGTGTTTCTCCACCACCTTGGTGTAAAAATTGGTTTTGTTTCGAAAGGAAGGGGCTTTTTATGACAATCTGGAATTCAGCCTAACAGGGTGCAGTTTTAGTTGTTCGAGGAGACCATTGGAGGATAGGAAAGATGAAAGGTCATGGCGAGCTCCAAGGACATGAAAGGTCATTGTCTCTTGTAACAATAGTGGATTGTTTGGTGCCATTATTTCCAGCCAACTACTCAGTCAGGTGATAGAAAAGATACTACCAGTTTAGTCAGGTGGAACAGGAGAGAAAGATAATGCACCTTCTACAGAACAAAAGATAATTATAATTCGCCTGTATTAAACAAAGTTGCACTTATTTGTGGCCATCCTCTGAAGAGGGTTGTTTACTGACTTACTATTCCAGCCTGCTTTGTTCAGCACTGCCTCTGTAGGCCATCACATCTCTGGGAAGCAATCCAATGTGTTATAAAATGTTGTTTAAGCTTTCTTCCCATGAAGAGGAGTCCCCAGGAGTACCACTGATGTGATACTTAAACATAAATTTAGTTGTTGTAGCTTTCTCACATTATTGGCGTTCCTAAAAGGTTTTTCTTCAAAGACAGAATAAAATTAGCTATAAATATGAAATAAATTTGCTTCAAAACTTTATAGCATTTTATCATAAATTCTACAGCACATATTGTCGAAAGTTTACAGCAAACTGTATTAGGTACTGCTGAACAGAGAGCAGAGACCTATAGTTGCGTAAAAATAGATTAGCTATAGGACTACTCTTATGCAAAAGAAAATAGATAAAATCTCATCTTTAAAGTCTCTATGCAGAAGCTTTAGGAGACTCTGTGTCTTTGTTTTAAGGGAAAAACAGAACTACTGCCGTAATATTTAATAAAACAGCTATAGCAGAGTTCATGAGGAAAGCATTTCTGTTAGTGAATAGAGCTGTCACCTCTTATATTTTTCCAAGACTATCCAAACCTCCAATTTACTGTTTCTCAGAAAGATGTTTTTGCCACCTTTCTTATTATTTCCCTATTTTTCTAGCATTATGCCTTAGTCATCCATTCAACAAGTTTATTTTTCTTTTCCTCTTCCCTCTGTCCACAATCAAAGCACATCCCAAGATCCATCACATATGTTCTAAAGACTAATTTTTTTAGGTGAGCATTTCCAGAATGTTCCACATTCTTATATGAGATCCCTGAAATCTTTTACCAGGTTTGTTTTATAATATTTTTACTCCTATCACAACAGAGCTGCCAGAGCTGTATTGAATTTTTATTAAACCAATAACACATATGTAATTTACTACTATTACACTTGAAAATAAAAATTATATGTAATTTTTAGGTATCCCATCTTAAACTGTTCTGACCTCATTTGAACTCCCCTTTTTAGCTATTCTGGGCCTCTCTTATCTCATTTTTACTCCTGGCCACTCTTGCTCCTGCTTTCTGACAACACAGATGGGTGGCCTTGCACAAACTGATAACTGTGGCAATTTCTCAGCACACTATTCACTAATAAAAGATGTTATTTTCAGAATTAGGCAGGCATGTTTCATACTTGCTGGCTGGCTGAAGATGAGAGGTCGGGCTGTGGCTTCCTGGGAGCATGCAATCATATGAGCCATTGGACTTTACAGCTCCCAGGTTGTTGATGCATTGTTTTACCAGCAACTAGGTTAAGTAATTAGAGTCTTTCAGAGAAAGGAAGTCTTGTTTTAAGTGTTTGTAAGCTTTTAGTTTTTTAAGATAATCTATTCTTAATTTTTCTCTTTAACTTGCTACCTAGTTCTCATTTATTTGCTAGCCTATGTTTTGTTATTTTTGTATTAAAATGAGCCAAAGAGTGTAGGCTGCTTCATTCAGAATGGGAGCCCTGCAAAGGGTTAACCAGCAGAGAATTACAAATGAACTATCAGGAAAGTTGATTATTAATCCAGCAAGAGAGAAAATATCCTTCCAGTTAGCAAGAATTAGTACCTGAAGAGCTGATAATATTGTTCGGGCTGTCGGTGTGGAATGGCAAAACCAGGTAAGCTAATCATCTTCTCAAAGGAACAAAATCTTTTCTTTCTGTTTTTCATTATAAGAGAGTTTAGTTTTTAAAATAATCTTTGTTATTTTACTTAAAGTATCAGCATGTGAAACAGCATATGTTGATCCTCAGTTTCCTCAAATGAATGAAAGAAATTAAACTTGTGTTTAACTTTGGTAAGAAGATACATTTCTAAGCCATATTTCTGAGCTGCACAACGTATGTAGCTGTGAAATATCGCAACAATTCTTTCCTGGTTTGTGGTTAAGGGTGAGAGGGTGAGAACTGATTACAAAACCTGAGGAGTCCTTTACAATTGCAAGCTAGTATATTATGTAAGTCTGTCTTTAGTTGTGCTTGGACATATTGTGGGGGTTTACAGGAACTTTAATGTTTCAGAGCTCTTTCATTCAGAGTTATTAGATTTCAGTTTTCACACTGTAGGAATTATTTATTTAAATTTGTTTTGATATTGTAAACATATTTCTGTTTGTTAAAAAGTTTTTTGTGGGTTTTTTTTTTTTTTGGTGGGGTTTCAAAAATCTATGATCTGGGGTTAGAAGAAAATGGATGTTTGGTAAACATACCACTGTGTTTATACAGAGAAATGCAAATGAAACCTTTTAGGTTACTTGAATACATCCTTATAATTTTGGTAATTTTTTTAAAAAGCTCAAGGCCCTATCTTGGGAAAACTTTCAAATTTGTGCCCCTGATACTAATAAATTGATATGATAAACATTTATATTTTTCAATGTAGTCTTCACTATTTAGCTTATTACAGGAGTTGTGTAAAAGTGTTTAGATGATAGTCTATTACTGTGGAAACTAGAAAGTCTGTGTTCAGCATTTGATAACTTTTCCTAGTTGTGTGCTGTTACTTCAATTAGTAGCACTTAAAAAAATCCTGATTTCCATGTAGAATTGAAGTTCAGTATGTACACGATGTGGCTACAGTATCTGTCTTGGTGAAAAAGAGTCCAGATTTTAGCCTGTTATGTATGAAATAGCCTGAAAGCTGTATGAAAGGAATTGTGGTGGTACAAGAAGGAAAACACGGATAAAACCTGAAAGTATTCCAAATTTAAAGGCTGAGCCCCTGTAGCAGTGTAGTTCTATGGGGTAATTTTCATGAGCCATAGAGAAAGGAAGAAGAAACCTTTTAATTTTGGGAATGGGAATAAGATACAGCCTCAGGCAAAGGAGAAAGAGAAAGGAAGAAGAGGCAGTGGGGAAAGTGAAAGGGAGAAGTGGCGTTTGTCTGACAGCGTCATTGTATTGTGCGTGCCTTTGGCCTCCTGGAGCACAGGGACAGCTGGTGGCCAAGTTCTCTGAAGGGCGTCTCACCACGTTACACTAAACTAAAGTCCTAGAATTTGCTGATGATAGAGCTATCAGGGCAACAAATGCTGGCATTTTGGGAGCCATGCTAAATATTCAGACATTCATAGAGGCAAATAACTTCTGGAGGCACATTTTAGCTGAGTATTTTAAGGAGAACGGGGACAACGTAAATAAGCTGCATTTTCTGAGTTTGATCACCGGCATCTAGGAAATATATGAAGAGCAAGAAACCCAATGATGAAAAAATTATCACACAGGAAATGATATACGTAGAAAAAACAAGATTGTAATTAGTGGAGGAAAGTAAGAAACTGATTAGAGAAATGAAATTTCCCAGATGTTTAAGGAAAAAATGAAAGTTAAATTAGATAAGCTTTTTTAACTAGTATTGGAGAGGAGTGCTTCCTTCAGAATGGGAGAGCTAAACTCAAAATTAGAAAAGAGCTGGCAACTTGAGTTTAGCTCAACTGTTTTCCTGCACGAATGACTCTTAGGAATGCTCTGCTTGGAACATCATCAGGAACAACTAGTATAGAGCTGTTGGGGAAAAAGTAAAGCACAAAATGAAACTCTCTATATGCTTATTTGGAATGATTAAAGTGATTATATTACTTATGTGTGTACTAAACCACAAATTAGACAAATTGGTTGGATTTTTAAGTAGTACTTCAGGATTTATTTTATTTCATGTATATATGTAGTTGACACTTGAGTGCTAGCACTGTACTGGTTCAACTGGTTCATTTTAAAATTAATTGTGAGCATTAGCTTATTGACAGAATCCTGAATTATCAAACACTACCTGTAAATGAACAGAAACAGTCTTGATCCCCCTCAGCTATAAGACAGTATAACAGTATATAGCTGTTATTTAATTATTATTATTTATATCGACTGGGACAAAAGTAATGTTCTTAAGCAAAAGATAGAAACAAAAGATATCAAGCAGAAACTCTGGGGTTTTTGTGTCCATTCCAGTGGTTTGTTTCAACAACACAATAGTGTAACTTGGGAAAAATGTCCCCCTACAAGGCAGTTTAGCTGGCACCACTGCTTTTGTGCCAGTTCCTGTTCTCAGTTGTGTATTACAGGAAAAAAAAAAAAAAAAAGGAGAAAAAAAACTCCTACCAAAAAAGTTAGACGTGTCTGGAATAGGTTGATAAGAACATCATCTGATTTACTGGAACTAGTTTGACTGAGCAGGGTGTTCATGTTAAATAAAATTGTATTTTCTTCAATTCAGTCTCCGTAGATCCCAACCTGTTTAAAGGCTTAATGTCGAGGAGAGATGAAGCTCCAGAGGTCTGTGACTAACTAGACACACATCTGGAAACACAGCTGCACTCAGGGAAGGCTGCAGAAGCAGTTAGCCTGCAGCAAGCAAACCATTCCTGTCACTATATGGTTGGTGCAGTAAGATGAGATGGTGCGGAGGGCGGAGCATAAATATCTATATGTTGCTTGATTCTCTGCTTCATAAAAACCTGTCAGTAGCCAGGAAGAATCTTGTCTACACAAACAGATGGCCAAAGCAAAGTTTGGGCCAGGTTATTTTTGTTTCTTGGACCACACCTTGTCTGTGGTGACAGCACTGGAGAGAGAATGTGTTTCAGGTCATTAGGAGCTCAGTGAAGCTATATGGATAACACTGAGGTATTTTATAAGATTCAGTGTAAAGCTGCATAGTTCAAGGAAGCTCATGTCTTATTAGCTATGGCTAAGGTCAGTTATCCGCACAATGAGGGGGAAACTCTTTCATAAACAAGTAGATAAATATGGTGCAGGTGGTGCTTAGCCTTGTTTCAGACTGTAATGTTACCAAAAGACCTCAAGAACAGCTTCAGCTTTTACAGTCCTCATGGAGCATCAGCAGCATAGAGTGGTCAGGTATAAAATAATGTAAAATTTGTGTCATGAAATTAGGAGAAATCCAGGGCATTTTCATGGCTTTTCATACAGATGTCTATCTCTACAATATATTGAAGAGAGAATATAGAATCATCAGAACTCTTCTTGTAGAAGAAAATAAATTGTAAAATGCTAGGGCTGAAAAACCAAATTGAGCTTACCTAATCTAAACATTAGAATAAATCAGGCCTAGTGTCTTTTGGATTTTGCTTTCTGCAAACTCTGTAATGTTCCATGTGTTTCAAAAAAGCTGTTTAGGTATATTGGTGTTTATTAGCACTTGATCCATGTCTGATAACAGAGAAAAATCATAAGAATTCATTTTGCCTTTGGGGCTATAATTTTAGCTGTCTTATGAAAAATAATTATATTTTAAACAGCTGCAAAAAGAGAAGAGCTTAAAGAGTTAATTGAATCACATGCTGCTAAAGGAAAACATTTTCTTTCCTTTTTTTTCCTCATCTGAAGTAGGAGTTACATGTGTTCCTTATTACACCCAACATAGTCCAGTAGTTTTTTAAAAAGACATACTCTTGCAGCAGTGTGTTCTCAAAGACACATTATTTTCAGCTACTAAATCCTGGAGCATCCCAACACGTGTCATTTTTCACCTTTTGAATAGTGCTCTGTGGCTGTAGTGGATGATAGCACATAACATCCATACAACTGTAAAATGAAATCCCCTGCCTGTCTTTACTACATTTTGGGTTTTGGGTGCATTTTTATAGATGCCAGCGGAAACTCTGCTGGCATTTCTTTCAAAGATAGTCCAAATCAGTGTTGGTGTAGTTATTAATTATTCTGTGGTGTTTAGGCCAAATTTTTTAATCGAAGTAGAAAACACACAAAAACAACCAATGAAGACAAAACCCACTGCAAATTTACTTCAACTGTAATCACCCAAGTTTGTGAGAGCCAAAGGAGAGCAGATTATTTCCCACAAATGGGTCTCTTTTACAGACCTTACTGACGAGATTGTGATGTGCAGATGTTCAGTGTTGGAGGCAAACAGGGGTGTTCAGAACAAAGTGGAGATTTTTCAGGGCACTTTCTGCTTCGGTAGGTCCAGCAAGCAAACTCTGTGGTGCTGGGAGAAGGCCAAAGCTGGGCACTTCAGCTGCACATCCTTTTGGTCTTTCTAACTTTGAATAGAATAAAGTAAAAAATACATAACAGTTTGTCTGCTGTCTAATAGTTTATGCTCATGTGCAAGTTTCCTGGCATTTTACATGTGTTTAAACCTCAGTGAGCACTGCAGTAGCCAGATTCTAATTATTTTTTCTCTTTTTTTTTTTTTTTCAAAGCAAAATTTTCATGGGGACTGTGCTTGTCTAATTCCAGTCTAAGAACGGTTCTACCTCCATATTAACTTGAATTTTAATTAAGCCACATGTACAAGCATACACCCCACTTTTTGCATGAAAAGTGTGAGCAAAATATCAAATGTCCTTATTCTTGCTTTACCAGGGTAGGCTTTTAGCATTTATTGAGGTAATATATATGGTTTACTAGTGTTTATACTGAATCTCTCCTCAAATCTCTCTTTTTCAATAGACTGCTTTTCCTTTGCAAAAATTATTTTTAAGACACTGTTGGTTTATCCTTCTACTTTCCCCATCACCTGTGATCTGTTTAGCACTATCACCACCTTAGAGAGCACAGTGCTGAGGGAAATCAAAGCAGCTGCTGGAGACCCCGCGACAACTGTCTGGTAAACCTGATTACTAACCTAGAGCCTTGTTTAA